CTTGGGGTTTAAATTAGCTGAGAACCTTATTTGTGTGTGAGTCCTTATTTGTGATGAAGTTGTATACTTTGGCAAGAGTTCCTTTTCATGTCTAATTATTTTCTCATGCTTCAAAGTCAGAAAGAAGAGGCAGCAGTTGTCCCACTGTCACAAACACTATGATGTTTGGTAAGCCCGCTCTCTGTCCCACTGGAGGGTAAGCTTTTTAGGGCAGAATCTGGCCTCTTCATTTTGTATTCCCCGTGCCTAGCATGTAAAAACCTTTGAACCGAACCTCTGAAGCCATTATTTCTCTGCTCGTGCCTTTAATCTTTGAAGCCATCATTTCTCTCTATGTGTCTGCTCTCTGGAGTGTTTTAAAGGAAAAACATGTTTGCTTCAGCTGCAAAAAGATTGTTTTTGAGACCTACCAGTCAGTCCTTTACAAGTGTAATCCGAATGTCTGCAGGCATGACTGTGAGACTGCATTTCCCAAGAGCAGGAGCCACACTGCCCTCGCCCTGCCACATTCCGACGGAGGGCCCCTGGGGTCAGCTTTCCATGTATTTGAGAAACGTGCATTCTGAGGCAAACGGGCCCTGAGAATTGGGCATGGTTGGATGGTTTTAACTGTTCTCAAAATGACTGTTTAAAACCCCAAGAGATTTGACAATGAAGATCCAGGCACTAGCACCCCAGCCAGCTCCTCGGGAGGCAGATCCTGCATCCTGCACCCTGCATGTTCCTTCCTGTGCCTAGATCATTCTTTTTCACATTCCCTTACTGCTCTTAATAAGATATCTTTTTTTATGGCTGAGTAGTATTCCATTGTGTATATATACACTGGATCTTCTTTATCCATTCATTTGTTGATAGGCACTTGAGTTGCTTTCACATCTTGGCTATTGTGAATAATGCTGCAATGAATATAAGGGTGCATATATCTTTTTGAATTATTGATTTCATGTTCTTTTTGTGACAACATGGATGGACCTTGAGGGTATTATGCTAAGTGAAATAAGTCAGACAGAGATAGACAAATACTGTATGATATCGCTCATATGTAGAAGATAAATGAACACATAGATAAGGAGAACAGATTAGTGGTGACCAGAGAAGAGGGTGGGGGAAGAGAGAAGAGGGTAAAGGGCCACATACATATGGTGACAGATAAAAACTAGACTCTTGGTGGTGAACGTGGTGCAGTCTATACAGAAACTGAAATATAGTGATGTACATCTGAACTTTACACAATGTTGTAAGCCAATGTGACCTCAATAAAATAATTAAAAAAAATTAAAATACCAAAAAAAGAGACATCTTTTTGAAAGTGTAGAAGACATAAATGACTTTTTCTATATTTTTAGCTGTTACCTTGTCTTGTGTTTGACCCAAAAAACCCAAAACCCAAAAACCCCCCAAACAGTAGGGCAGCCTGTTTGGATAACATGCATTTTTGCTTGTATATGCACAGGACTATCACTTGACTGAGGGACATGGAGGGGCAGGAAGACTGAAGTTTCCATTCTATACCATTTTGTGTGATTTGAATTTTTCCGCTATGTCTGTTATTACTTAAAAATATAGTTTATGTAAATTTCCTGTCACTTTCTATGTATTCAGAGAGCCTTTAATTTTTAAAGATCTGAGTTTTAATTATAAGTAAAAAGAATTACTCACTTACGGAGATGGTCCTTTGATTATTTTTGATAGGTTGCAAGGTTTTTCCAGAATATGAGTTTAAAAATAAACTTGCTACATTGGGATTATGGCTTTCTTTCTGTACTCTTGCCCTTTGGACTAGGAAAATGAACCCAGCCCTGATTTCTGAGATAATTCAAGCTTTCTGGGCCTACATGAAAGATAATGCTGGAACACCCACACTGCTGTCACATGCTGTGTGGCCATGCGGGACTTTATTATTTATGAACTACTTCCGTGAGGTGCTGGAATTAAGTGAACTAGAAGGCAATTGGACAGAAACACTTAAAAATTGAATTGGTGCTTAAATGTTAAAACCCACAAATGTGTTCTGGTTTGGGATTTCTTAGGGTGAGACGTTTCTGGATTGCGGCTTTCACTTTTGTTAAATTATGCTCGTGTCAACTATCCCTTGCTTAAAGTGTTTGAATTTAATGATAAGGATAATATTGATAGTTTTTAAACCATTCCTGTCTTCCTTGCCAGCTTTAATAAATCCAGCACAGATTTTTAAAAATTCTTAACATTTGCATGAGATGCTTCCCTGCCTGTGATTCTGTCTGCTTTCCACATCCTTCAGTAGCCCTGTGGCTGTTCTTGGCTACCTGGTGTTTGGTTTTAGGTTTGCTTGTGAAAATAAGCGACAGGAGCAGTTGGTGAAGTGTCTGTTCACACCTCCTAAGTGGTGTTAGAAGTTTCCAAAACAAATCCCACTTTGCTGCTCAGGGACTGAACCTATGTTAGGTCATAATAGGCCCTCAGAGAGGATTCTAGAGTTGGTTGTAGCTTCGCTCAAAGTAAACAGACTTTGGTGCTGATACTTTGGGAAAAGTGGACCTGGTCTCAGGAACTGTCAGGTGGCATTCTTTGAAGGTCAGTACCCTCTTAGCATCCCCAGGAGGGCTAAGAGAGGAGGCTGTGTGGGAGAGCTGGGAGAAGGCCTAACCAGCACTCCTGCCCTGGGCGAGAGGTGAAGCTCTCTGCCTGCGGCTGGTGTGGTCATCTGAGCCTTTGCATTCAGCTTTCGGCAACTTCCCCTTTTCAGATGCCCACAATTGGTATTTACAAAAGCTAACCACCCTTCATCACCAAGGCTACCATTTAGCACATGACTGTCAGAAGAGAAAACACAAATAATCCTCTCAACATCTAAGTGACAAATATGCAAACTCTTCCAGGCCAGGTCCTGGAAATGTATTGGAAAGACTCTAGGCTGGCAGGGGTGAGGTCGTCTTCAAAGACCTCGCATCTTCCCTTTCTCTAGCTGTGGACTGTGGTTTTAAAAACCATAAAAGATTTCTCCTAAAGGTCCAAAATCATAGCTCGCAGCATTTCCTGAGATCTTGGCTGTATTTTGTTAATCTAGTTTAGGTTTTTCTTGATGATTTTGTACACTGGGCCATATGTAACCTTATGATTTACGACTGATGGCCAGCTAGGGTGGGTTTTCTTCTTTCTTCTTTTACCTTAGGACATTTAAACGGGAAGTTTAAACTTTCCTCAAAAAGAATTTAAATTTGAGCCCTCGTCTCTATGTGTGCAAAAGATGGCCCATGGAAGATAAATTAGGAGAGAGTGCAAAGCAGGAATCTTGGTGTAGGAGAAAGAACAGGAGCTTTGGAGAAATGCAGTGCGGATTTGGAATCCTGGCTATGGCCCTTAACAGTTTCAGGACCTTGTACCAATTACCTAACTTGTGAGCCACAATTTCTTTTTCTGGAAAATGGGTATAATATCCACTTCATGTCATTCTTGTGAGACTTGAGTGAGGATGTTTCTAAGTGTGTACAGTGCCAGGCATGCTGTAGGTACTATTTAAGTCTTAGGTTTCTGCTACCCTCCGCCCCTTTCCTTTAAGTGTAGAATGAGCTGAGATAGTGTGGGCAGTGATCTGCCCTGTGAGCAAGAGAGGCTGAAGGTGAAAGAGGAAATTGGGTTTATTTGGGCAAAACCATCATTTCCTTAAAGTCCCTGGCCCTCAGCTCTTAAATAGGTCACTGAAGAGAACATCAGAATGTGGGTTCTCAGTCTGTGAGGGTGACCCTGGGGATGGCTGTCGGTAGACCGCGCACTGGAATTGTTTCTTCTTTCGTGGCCACGCTGCTCATCGGGCTCACATTCTTGCAGTTCACCAGATGGAGAAATGCCAGGAGGGAGTTTCCTTTTTCTGAAGTCTGTCTGTCAGTGGAGTTGGACTGATACAATACCATTTGCCATATCTTGAAGTAGTTTGCAAATGACCAAGTGAAATACTTGAATAATGTTTGAAATATTCCTTTTCATGATTGTTGAGCTAGGGAAGAGTGCCTCCTTTCAATTTCTCATTTTTTTTTTTTTGCTGAGGAAGACTGGCCCTGGACTAACATCCATGCCCATCTTCCTCCACTTTACATGGGACGCCGCCACAGAATGGCTTGACAAGCGATGCGTCGGTGCGCGCCTGGGATCCGAACCGGCGAACCCCGGGCGGCTGCAGCAGAGTGCGCACACCCAATTGCTTGCGCCACCGGGCCAGCCCCTCTCATTTTTTTTTATTATGGTAAAATATACATAACACAATTCACCATTTTAACCATTTTTAACTGTACAGTTCTGTAGCATTTTCACATTGTTGTGCAACCATCACTACCATCCATCCCCAAAACTTTTTTATTTTTCACAACTGAAACTCTGTGCCCATTAAACACTAACTCCCCTTTCCCTTTTCCCCCCAGCTCCTGGCAACCAACAATCTCCTTTCTGTCTCTATGAATTTGAGTACTCTAGGTACCTCATATAAGTGGACTCATACAATATTTGTCACTTTGTTATTATTTCACTCTTTTCTTCTTTTAATATGTATTTTTTGCTCTGTCTTATATTTTCCGTTACTCCCTGGCAGGGACTGTTCTACAAAGTCTTGCTTTTCTCTGAGATTTACCTGTAAATTTGCACTCTACCTTCTTAACTTTTTGTGTATGATCTTTGCATTTTTACCCCATTGAAGGAAAATACCAGTCATAGGAAATTATTTGATGGAATGTTTATTCTATTTATTTTATTTTTAGTAATAGCTCTTTATTGAATCAAGATTTTAGGTTGTAATACACTAAGTACAGAATCAGATCCTATCTTTGCCTATTGAGTGTCTTCTCAAAGATAAAACTACAAGTTCTTCCCTCATCCCCCACCCCTCCCTCCATTCCCCAGAGAAGAGAGCATAAGAATGTGTTTGTATAAGAGGTTGGTAGTAGCAGAGAGGAGAGGCCAGTTAATGGGGATTGTGAACATTGTTTTAGGCTCTTCAATTCAAAGGTAACTTCTCCGCTTTTTCTGTGTAGGTGGTATACCTTGAAATCCAAACCAGGAAAGAAGGATAAAGAGCGAGGAGAAATTGAGGTTGACATCCAATTTATGAGAAACAACATGACTGCTAGCATGTTTGACCTTTCCATGAAAGACAAGTCTCGGAATCCATTTGGGAAACTGAAGGACAAGATCAAGGGGAAGAATAAGGAGACTGCATCAGATACTGCTTCAGCCATTGTCTCCAGCATGAGCCCCTCAGCTGACAGTGATGATGAGTCTTCTTTGAAAGACAAGAAAAAGAAGTCAAAGATCAAGAACTTGTTTTCCAAGTCTAATTTGCAGAAGACGCCGCTTTCCCAGTCCATGTCTGTCCTGCCTACATCAAAGTCAGACAAAGTGCTGCTTCATCCTGGAGAATTTCAGTCCCGGTGGGAGAATGATGACAATGAGGACGAGTCCTCCTCTGCCTCGGACGGTGAGTTTTCTCCTCCTCCTCCTTACTTGGCCTCTCTCCCTCAGCTTAGTCTACTTTGCTGTGAGAGAGAAGAAACAAACAAATCTCAAGAGAAAGATTTTAATTCAGCTCCTCAATTGCTAAAATGATGATAGTGATGATGGTGGTGATGATGGTGATGGTGGTGATGGTATTGGTGGTGGTAGTAGTGAATGGTGATGGTGGTGGTATGATGGTGGTGGTGATGGTAGTGAATG